ATGAGGATGACTGGAACCAGAACAATCATATCTCAATGGCTGCAATATGTATTTTGTTAACTCAGATTACAGAGTTAATCCAGTTGAGATCAGTTCACAAAACTGTAATCTAGCCTGATATAGATTAGAAGCTCAGAGGACGTTAGTCACACACTCAGATTGTTTTATACCATGCTCTGCAACCATGAACTCTATTTGTACTTCTTTTGCACTTGAATTTCCTCATCTGAAAACTAAGGCCAGTATATCCTTTAAAAACTTTGGCCACTAAATGAATGAGAACTGGAATAATTTATATAAACACACTGAGTTCTGTGTGAGAAATGGGTTATTGTAGGATTTATTTCCTAATACATTTAAAGAAATCTAGGCAAGTTGCATGCCACATTAGAGACATAGTAGAGTTTTAAACAGTCAAATGCGACAACAAATTGCCAAAGAGCAACTTGCATGGTTTTGTTGATTTAATATTTAGTCTAACAAGTATAGATAAAATAATCTTCTTTCTTATACCCTTTTATTACAGTGGAGTTATATCATCAATGAATTATAGAGATTAAATTTTTTTAATGTTTTTTATTTATTTCTGAGACAGAGAGAGAGAGAGAGCATGAGCTGGGGAGGGTCAGAGCGAGAGGGAAATACAGAATCTGAAGCAGGCTCCAGGCTCTCCGCTAGCTGTCAGCACAGAGCCCTCGCAGGGCTCAAACCCACGAACCATGAGATCATGACTTGAGCCGAAGTCAGATGCTTAACTGACCGAGTCATCCAGGTGCCCCTGAATTGTAGAGATTAGAGAGACACCAATAGTCACAGAAATGTTCCTATCTTTCATCTTATGTGTAATCACATATGTCCAGTCATGATAACAAATTTCCTAACATAATTGTGTGACCAATATTGTGTATAGTGTTTCCTTACAAGCCAAAGTCCCACAATTTTTACTTACACAGAGATTTCCAAGGGTTAGTACTTTTTCCATTTCAATAATGATATAGGTATAGATGTGCCAACTCAAAAGGAAGCCCTAAGTTTTTAGTGGGGCATAGAATGAAAAAAAAAATAGAAAAGATAATTTGGAAGCCAATGACCCAGATAATTATGATTCACACAATTAAAATTAAAGAACTAATTAGAACATTTCAAGCTTAAAAAGCCATCTAGATATTAGTATCTGATATATACACCCTCTGTCCAACTTTGCACTATTAAAGTTAAGATGAAGGATAAAAACTCAGGATCCCTGAAAACTCAGTCTCTTGATAGTTTGACTGACACTATCTTAAGGGAATTTTGAATTTTTTGCAAGACCAATAGGAGTGGATTTAAATATTTAGCCAAAAGCTTCTCTAATGCATTTCACTAAAAATGGAATAAACCTGTCTTTTTAAAATGTTTATTTATTTTGAGAGTGGAAGAAGGGGCAGAGAGAGATACAGAGAGAGAGAGAGAGAGAGAGAGAGAGAGAGAACCCCAAGCACTCTCTGCACTGTGTGCGCCAAGCCCAACACAGAGCTCCATCTCACAAACTGTAAGATCATGACTTGAGCTGAAACCATGAGTCAGAGGCTTAACCGACTGAGCCACCCAGGTACCCCAAGCCTATCTTTAGATAAAGAGAGAGCCATTTGTTCCTGCAGTCCTGATTGTGAAGTCTGTGCTTATCAAAGCAGGAGATATTTGCACTGTTACCTTCCATCCTTGAGAGAAAATCTGGGCACAGACCAAGGGCAGAATGAGACTTGGTAGAGGTCCATAAAGGTTACTGTGTGTGTGTGTGTGTGTGTGTGCGCGCGCGCGCACGCGTGTACACACATATTTCATCTGTTCAAAGTGTCAGATTTATTCAGCTGAGGTAGCAAAATATCTCATTTTATACAAGAAAAATAATTTTAGATGACCTGTGGTCGACACTAAAAATTGAACTGAGAAATCTGCATATAAATTATACCTATTCTCTCAATAACTAAGATATGATTTAGCCTAGTGGACAACTAGACAGACTTTATGTTGTTCAAACGAATGCTTAATCCCTGTCTGTTGACAAACTATGGGTCTCGATAGATCTTTTCTGATGATAAATAAATAACAACAAAACATGACTTACAAAATAATACCACAGAACAGAGGAAAGAAAACTACCTGATGATTCAAATAAAGTATACTTCAAATAATTATGTTCTACAGACATTGTCTTATAGGCAATTTAAAAATCCCACAAATAATGAAAAAAGCTTACCCAGAGAAGTAAAATTCATATCTGTGCTCTTAACTATATTATCCCAGAATAAATTAAATAGTACCTATTAAATTAAATTAAATAATATTTCTAGAATTTTGAAGAAAATTTTTGTCTGGTCAAGAATTAATACTCAGAATTGTTAATCAAATATAAATGCAAAGGAGGCCCATTTAGAAAACACAAGAACTCCACAGTATACAATCTTTGTACTCAAAGAAGCAGCTATGAAATACTTTCTCCTACGTATCAGTGAAAATCAATAATTAAACAATGAGGGGCTGAAGTTTGAATACTAAGTAATACAACTAGTGAAGCACTGATTCAGGTCAAAAAGAAAATATTATGAAATTTATCAATAAACTAGCTGTCAATGTCAAAACCTATTACAAAAGGACTTACTGATTGATGATTCAAAATAATATGTCTTATCAGAAATCCTAAATTATAATAAGAAATGAAATTGAGGAAGATAAAGAAAATAGTAGTAAGAAAGCAAAAGTCCTCATCTCAAATAGTTAAAATTCAAAAGAAAAGAATTTAAAGCTGGTGTTATTATTCCAAATGCTTAAAAAGGATCTAAAGAAGATGCAACAAATTGACCATGGATTATATGGTAAAATACAGAAGGTATCATCAACAGTAAGGAAACACACAAATAATCTATAACAATAGATCAGAAGTAACACCAAACAACAAGTAGAAAAATGAGGATAAAAGCTTTAAAAAAAATGTCAGCAAAGAATATGTAGTCACATGATAAGACACTTAGGCTCTGATTAAGTAAAAATAAAGCACAAGATAAATTATACTGTGGTATGATCCAAAATTTGTACCACTGCAACATAATTAAGAATTTCGTCTCCAAAATAAAATAATTTGGGGTGTAAATTCCAAATGTCCTGCTTACTAATTATGTGAATTTTGAAAAGTTATTAACTCTCAAGTCCTCATTCTGAATAAAAAAATGAGGTAGGAAAAGTATCTTCCTTATATGATTATTGTAAGAGCTAATGTGAATCATGAAAATTTATTATAAAATGCCACATCCTCTATAAGAATTCAATAAATTTTGCCTGTAATTATTCTTAGTAGTAGTAAAAAATAATAACCTCCAGAGATATATAAGGAACAACATCAAAATGTCTTAGTAGTTTATTGCTGAATAGTGGCATTATGGATAGATTTTTCATGTAAGTTTTTCTATATATTTCTCAAATGTTACTACATATTAAATCATTAAAAAAAATTCCTTGGGGCACCTGGGTGACTCAGTTGGTTGAGCATCTGACTCTTGATTTCAGCTCAGGTCATGATCTCACGGTTTGTGATACCGAGCCCCTCATGGAGCTCAGAGCTGAGTCTGCTTGGATTCTCTGTCTCCCTCTCCCTCTGCCTCTCCCAACTCATGCCTGTGCCCTCTATCTCTCAAAATCAATTAATAAAAACTTAAAACATCCTCTATTCACATTATCTCTTCTTCATAAGAAATAAAATCTTTTAGGTAAGCTGAAGTCTTCTTTATTATACTTAATTCTTCTGCCTCCCCAGAGACCATCATTATCACTAATGGGAAAATCCATTTACTTGTGTATTATTTAACAATTTGAGACAGTTAATTTTATGTGTCAATTTGAGTAGGCCATAAAATGCTCAGACATTGATCAAATATCATTTTGGGCGTGTCTGTCAGAGTGTTTTAGATGAGATTAACATTGGAATCTGTATACTGTATTAAGCAGATCACCCTCTCAGATGTGGGTGGTTCTCATCCAATCAGTTGAAGGCCTGAATTGAATGAAAAGGCCTACCTTCTTGCACATAAGAGGGATTCTTCCTGCCTGACTGCCTCAAATTGGGACACTGACTTTTTTCCTGCCTTCAGACTCCAAATGAAACACTGGCTCTTCTTGGGTCTTCGGCCTAGCAGCATTTGGACTGGAACTACAGCACTGGTGCTCCTCAGTTTCCGAGTTGCTGACTGCAGATATTGGGAATTGTCAATCTCCATAACTGCATGAGCCAATTCCACATAATAAGTCTCTTTCTATATACATACATCCTACTGGTTCTCTGGAATCACGAGTGACATGCAACAAGATCAAATCATTCCAGAAACATTGATATAGTACCCAATGCATATACAGCAGTGCTCCTATTATTGCGGTAAGGGACTTGCTATGTATAGAGAGAACAAATTTCAAAAGGGCCACGTTAGAATAACAAGATGTGATAAACTGAGGACGGCGAGTAAAAGTTAATAAAGTGCCTTTAATCAAGGTCAATCAATCCAATTAATTCACTATTTTGCTAAAGTCTAGGATTTCCCTAAGTCTCTTTTTTGCCTCCTTATTTTCTCTTCACAACAAAGATAGATAACTGAGTTTATTAACTATTTAAGGTTTAAGGTCTACAGTGTGCATCAACTGTCACCTATATAACCAACAACTACACATTTGTCTAACTCCTAATGGTGAGGTCCCTAACTATTTTATGAAATATTTTCTTCTGTATCATATATATTTTACCAAACTATTATGCAGCAGTGACAAATACTCTGGAAAACTTCATTATTATTCATCTTTTATAAATAAATTAATTCAGTTAATTACTTGTAGTCTAAAAAGAATTTTACCTAAATGATTATCTAAATTTGTCATTCAAAGTTTGTATTTTTCCTTTGGTTTCATATGCTGCTGTTCTTCAAAAAGACATGTATAAATAATAAGTGTAACAAATACAAAAACACAGACAAACTCACATGTGCAAGTTGTCCCATTTTCATCTAAAAGTTGATTGTCTGCACATGCACATACTCGGCCTCCTGGAATGGCCAAGCACAGTGTACTACAGCCCCCATTATTTACTCGGCACATGTTGTCACCTGTAAGGGGAGGGAAGCAGATGTGTCAGAGAACTGTGATTCCATCCAAAGTTAGGCCTGTTCAGGTCCACATTGTTTCTAAGAGATGTGTGTAGACATAAGAATCCATACATAGATAAGCATATGTATATTACATATTCATTAATGTAGTCAGGATATCTTCTGAACCCTAAGTAAAATTCAGAAACATTTAAAAATCTATGATGCACTGGAAGATAAAAGGAATTTGCATGTTAGAAGAAATAGAGGTATGTGTACAGATAAGTACCAGGAGAGAGGAAGGTCACAGGACATGATGATGTCTGTTCAGGATAGCAGATGAGGCTGGGTATATTAAAATCTGATTTCCTTCTAAAGGAGATCACTAACAGTAGAATGTGACATTGAATATTAAGTGAACAGAAGGCAAATGAACACAAATGAAAGGAGTGGAATGTGTTTCCTTCTTGTTCCAGGAGTACATTAACATGTTAGTGCATTGATGAGTCCAAGAAACATAGGTTATCTGTGAAACCTTAAAAATGAGCAGCCTTGTAATGCTGGTAGAATGTACAACGCACAAGGGTAGAAGTGTTGTCCCAGCGGACCATCCCAGTAGACCTAACCAGCAGAGGCACCAATGAGACAGGCAATAGACATCAATAAAGCAGAGGAGATTCACAAAGGTATTATCCATGAACATCTGTCAGACACTCTTGGAAACTAAGATAAAATGGACATAAATTTTAGAAAAGGCTGGAGATTCTATACAATCGAGGTAATCACCATTTTCATGACATTTATTCCTAGAAGATGGAAAGGCAAGAAAGAAAGTGTATTTACTTAGATACATATGTGCAGAATGTTACAAAGAAGTCTATAACACTAGCAATCCAATTGGCAGAGTAAATGTCCAGGTCATTCTATATCATGTTGCAGTTTTCAAGGTATCAATAAATAACATTTTGAATATATCAGAAAATCTGACTCAAACATTAAATAGTTTTTAATTATTTGGAATGAATACACTAAGATAATATAATCCTTAAGGTTGTATTGGCAGTTAAACAGCACCAAAAAATGTGACTGGTGTGACAGATGAGGCTATCATACTGGGTTAAGTGTGCTATGTAGAGAATATTAAGGAATGAGTTAAAAAAAAATCAAAACAGTGCTATACGCTATATTTAACTTATTCCCATAGATTATTTTGTGTGTCCACAGATCACAAGAAACAACCTGAAGTATATATTCACTTTTTTTCATTATTCTGAGAAGTAAATTAAATTTGTTATGTTTAACAAAAGGTAAAAATATACTTGAAAGCTAAGGAAACTAATAATTCAAGGGTTTTTTTTTTTTAATGTTTATTTTTGAGAGAGAGTGAGAGAGAGAGAGAACAAGTGGAGGTGGGTCAGAGAGAGAGGGAGACACAGAATCCGAAGCAGGCTCCAGGCTCCAAGCTGTCAACACAGAGACCAATGTGGATCTCCAACTCATAAGCCATGAGATTATGACCTGAGCTGAAGTTGGACACTTAACCAACTGAGCCACCAGGGCACCCCAATAATTCAAGTTTTACTATCAATTTCTGAACTCAGAGGATAGTGAAGCTTAGTTCATACTTTTTCCAATAAGGGCTGTGGAAATTTTTCTTTTGAAGTTTATTTATATAAACTTTTGTGGGGGGTGGGCAGAGGCAGAGAGAGAGAGAGAGAGAGAGAGAGAGAATCCCAAGCAGACCCCACACTTAGCACAGAGCCCAATGCCGGGCTTGATCTCATGACCCTGAGATCATAAACTGAGCCAAAATCAAGAGTTGGTTGCTTAATGTACTGAGCCACCCAGGCAAGCAGGCATGTAGCAAATTTTTAAGTACTTTCCAGATATAGCCATGTTTATTCCATAGCCATGGATTAAAAATAAAAATGTAATATTTCATTGGACACTTAGGTGTTCTGAATATTTTATGAACATTAGTACAGATCAAATTGTATATTCATTATTTTAGTAACATTCAGATTATTGACATTTGATTGAATCAAAATGTTTTGAGAAATGTATGAATAATTTAAAACAGTAAAAAGAAAGTACTAAAAGCAGTATGTTATGACACATTTTCATCTTGAAAATGTATGCTATATATTACATAATTATTTTCAATAGCATGACTCATGCTTAGCATTCTCAGTAAATATGAAATTTAAGTATTTAAAAATAAATTACCATTATTCAAACTTTTAAATATATTCCCTTTCTGTGAAAGCTATATATTAAGAAAGAGGAAGTGATATTTGTAATGTCATGATAGAAATCCAAAATATAAATTAATTTGTATAATTTCATATCTCCCATGAGAATTGTCTAGATGTTTATACATACATACATACACACACACACACATATTTGAATTTGAATTTATCACCAACATATTTCAGATACAGCTCATGTGGCAGTTTTTACTGAATTTCTAGTGGATTGCAAAACTTTTCATGTAAAAATATTCTCTCAATAATATGATTGAATGACAAACAGCATTAAAAATTTTATACAAAGGGGCGCCTGGGTGGCTCAGTTTGTTAAACATCTAACTTTGGCTTAGTGGTTTGTGGGTTTGAGCCCCACATCAAGCTCTGTGCTGACAGCTCAGAGCTTGGTGCCTGCCTCAGATTCTGTGTCTCCCTCTCTCTCTGCCCTTCCCTCACTCATGCTTTCTCTCTCTCCCAAAAATAAACATTAAAAAAATTAAAATAAAAAAAATGTATACACCAATATTAATGAATGAGTGCCTATTAACAATAGACAGTTATCATTATTGAAAATTCATAGTGCATCAATGCCAGGGATTGTTACCTTTTTTATTTATTTGTTGTTTATACCATATATATTTAATTCAATTTTTGTAATAAACTATTTAGGTGGGTTTACCTCATATGCAGATGTGACTACTGAAGAGATAGGCTTTTCTAATATCTAGAAATAAATAGTCCTTATTAAAGATAAATAAACTAGAATAAGGATTATTATTATAATCATTATTTCTTAATAATTAAAAACAAGGAATTTTCTTAACTAAAACTTATGCTCTTATACTCTTAACTTCTTTATATATGACAAAATAAAATTAAATCAATAAAGGGAAGAAAAATAACACAGTGAAAACAACATAATGAAATCCTAGATTAAGTTACTGTGGAAGTAAATACTTTTTTAAAAATCCAGATTGGAAGAAAACAAATGAGGGGCAGCTTTTAAAATAGAATTGAAGATAATGGCTGTCAGGGCCAAAATCTTTGCCTTCCCACGCCCCCTGGTATGTTAGTTAAGACAAATTTGATTACTCCACCCCTTATAGAGTCTAGCACAGAAGACTGTTTGATAAACATGACTTGATGAATGAATGAAAGGATGAGTGAATAAATTTTAGTTAGCAGTATGACAGAAACAATCATTTGGGTACGCAGACACAAGGTACCTGTATGTTAATATATATAAGTCTAGTTTAAGAAAACAAAGGGGCTTTTCTCATTTGCATGTATGTACACATATGCTCTGTCTACATACATTGCATTTCAAGGTAGACTATTTAAAGACATATTACAACTGTCAAAGAACAGTAATAAAGATGTAAATGATATATGAAAGCATTTCACAAACTTATATTAATATTAGTGTTTACTTACTTGAAAGGGTATATGCACCCATATGTTTATTACAACATTATTTATAATAGCCAAGACATGGAGGCAACCTAAATGTCCATCAACAGAAAAATGGATCAGGGATATGTGATACACACACACACACACACACACACACACAGGATTGCATGACCATTAAAAGGATGAGATTTTGCCATTTGAAACAGCATGGATGGACTGAAGGATATTATGCTAAGTGAAATAAATAAGACTGAGAAAAACAAATACCATATGGTTCCACTCAAAATGGAGTCTTTAAAAGTTGAATAAACAAAAAGCAGAATCAGAACTACAAATATGGAGAACAAACTGATGGTTGCCAGATGGAAGGGGGTTAGGGTTTGGGGCACAATGGGTGAAGGAGAAAGGGAGGTACAGACCTCCCATTATGGAATGGGTAAGTCACATGAATAAGAAGTAGAGCATAAGGAGTACAGTAAATGATATTTTAATAGCAATGTAGTGGGACAGATGACAGCTATACTTGTGGCGAACATAGCATAATGTATATGAACTTGTCAAATCATGAAGATGTACACCTGAAACTAATGTAACTTTGTCAGCTATACTCAAATAAAATTAAAAATATCAGTGTTTATAGACCTTAATAATTTAACTTTTGTTAATAAAGTATCTTTTATTTCTAGCAAATGACAAAATACATAAATCATCCACAAAGGAATGCTACTGATCCATTTTATCTAAATTTTCATCAGAAGGATGGGAAGGAAGAAATGCCCTTTTCTACATGCTTCTTGGACTCTTCACTTCTCAAAGTTTTATCGTATGTGAAGTTAGAAATCTTTATAGCTAATATGAAACATAGAATAATGGGGATTTTCTTTATCCCATTTGATAAGAAGACAGTCAGATTTACAATTTGGAAGAGAAATTAGATTTCACATTCATTCTAAAAGTTGGATATAAACTAGTAAAGTGGGATACTAAGTCCAGATCCTGATTTCATCTAGGATAATTTCAGAAGAATCAACTTTGAATAATTTCAATCAATTTGAGGAAAGGATAACATGTGTCTTTTCTTTCTTGTAGAGTTATATGCTCACTGAAAATCTGGCTTGCTTTGAAGTTACTTTGTGTGGGGGGCACATGCATGTGTGTGCATGTGCAACACGCGTGTAAGCTCTATTGAGAGCCTAATTAGCCTTCTGGGTTATCCTTTGATAGTGATTATTTCCAAAATGGAAACTTTGGAAAGACAAATTTTGTGATGATGGCCCTACCACTAAATATAAATCTTGGGGTGCCTGTGTGGTGCAGTTGGTTAAGTGTCAGACTTCAGTTGATATCATGATCTCATGG